ATAAAGGAGAATCAATACGGTCGACGTTGAATCTTGAGTAATATTAATAATAATATTTTTATACATAAATTCTAAATACATCTTTTATTTTATAAATCGCGTGTCGGACTTGAAACAATCATAACTGTAATTGAAATAATAAAGGGCGAATGAGAGTACAAAATTCTGCACAATAATTCGTGCGCTAAAAATTATTGTATGCTATATTTATTTCTTTTTATATTAACTAACAAGACCGCTCGTATTAATTAATGTAAGGAAGAATAAATATAATATAATTTTTAACGCATGAATTATCGTGTTGAATTTTACTCTCACTTGCTCTTATTAAATAGATACTTGTTGGTCAAATCTCCAGAGTTTAATTTTTATTATTTTTTATAAAATAATAATGTACAATTAAATTGTGTGATAGTCGATTTAATAATGATGCTACTAGCATCTTAAAACACTGTAAAGAATTTATTGCGAAGAATATCTCATCCATGATCTCTATTTTAATTTTAGCAAAAGATTAATGGCAGACAAATTATACGATTAATAAAACATCAACATTTCAAGATTCATCTTAAATATTCTGCGTTCGATATTCTCTTTCTCATTCCCTCTTGTCGTCGCGCATTCCAGACAAATATCATGACGCACTTGTTGCGATTTCACGCAAATATCGCAAGGCGGATGTAACGAAGATTTGATAACACTCAGTGCGACGTTACAGCATGTCAAGGGAGATTAAGATAGCTAATGCAATTACGATGCAACACGGACGGATCAGATAGAAAAAGGAAAGATATATTTGTTTCGGATGTAGATAAAACAGCGATTATCTTGAATCATTCTCACATCTTTTTCTATATTACTAAGCTCAATATTAATCTCCCAAGTAAATAATATGATCTCTCCATTTACGTTAAGCGGATGTGAAGTAACGAGATTGATCTTTCACGGTAAAACATTTCAGCAATATTAATTTCAAAATGCGTAACGCATCGTAATTATATGGGAAAGAGATACGATTTAAATCCGCATTTCTCGGCATGCAGGAGTTAAGTAATAGGACCTCCAACGATCCGCGAAGCTGCGGATATTGTGTGGAACACATGATCGTATTCCCGATTCATGCTTACAGAGTACGATCGATCGGTCGAAATGGACGATCATGGTGCAACCGTCGAATTACAGGCTCTCGAACAGAACGAGCGCAGTGGCTGGAGTCGTGCGTGCGAAATCAAAAATCACGACGATGACGCGATCGATCGATTATTCCGCGCCGCGAACCGATACTCGTACCATGCCCGCGCGTACCGGGGAATGTTATTTCCCCGGAGCGATACAAAATACATAACCGCGCGAAGGACTACCTGGTCGGACCGAACTCTAGAATTAGAGACCTGAGTCATTAAAGTCCCGAAGGATAATTGACCGGTCTCGAAAGGAGATTTGAGACCGGAGGATTTGAGACCTACTCAGAAAAATGTCGGTGTATCGGCCAGAACTCCAAGTAAATTACGCGTACGAGGGAGGAATATCCGGTCCGTGTATCGAAGCTCGGAAAGCAGAACTTGAGATCTGGAAATATCTATGAATTTTCACGCGAGCCATATGGCACCCTGTTCGTTTCGTCGCCCACGAGGAAAGGCGACGACGCATAAGTACACGCACGCCGGAAACGCATGGGTTTAAAAGCGAGGATGGTGTTTCATCGCCGCCTGCATGGGTTCGCAGCAGGCATACTCTAAATTGTGCCTTAAGGATTTTTCTTTCATGTTTTTTCGATCCATCTCGCCCGAGACCCCGAGACCTTTCGAGGAAAAACTTCCCCTTCGAAAAGGATTAAGTTAATCCGATCACTATTTCTCGACAAAAAGAGATTAAAAGTCCACTTTCTGATTTACGTCGTGTTCATCTCTTGTATTCAATTTTTAATGCCTGACAACATTTATATCATTACTGCGAATTCCTAATATTTTAAGTTCTGACCGAATTTGATTTTAAAGGCACAGCCGATATTTTATTGTGAATTTTTATAGACAAATTCAAATTTGTTAAAAAAAAAAAGTAAAATACAATTTGAGTTTTATGGTAGTAAAAATTTATTGTTGAAGCTTTCGTAAGTATGCATGACAACATTTACACGATTACGAATTTCAGATATTCTTAATTCTCGACCGAATTTGACTTTAAAAGTACAGCCAATATTTTGATTGTGAATTTTTATAGATAAATTTAAATTTGTTTTAAAAAAAGTAAAATACAATTCGACTTCTATGATAGTAAAAATTCATTCTTAAAGAGATATTGCTGGCGAAAGATGGAAAATATAGTGAAGATTAATATTGTATATCAAATGTCTCCTCCTCTTTCAATAGCAAAAGGATAGGAGTATAAATACACTTCTATATTTAGAAAACGACCGATTTCTTTCGGTCAAAGACACTGCCGCGAAAAGACAATCGATACATAAGCACGGAAAAATAACATTGTTCATGACATCTCGAGGAGGACGGGCCTCGCAAACAAACATCGGTTGATGATATTTTACGTTTCGTTCAACAAGTTATCTTAATGTACTATCGCATTCCATCAAAGAGGTTTTTTCGACGAATCGAATATTACATCGAGTCATTAGGCGGTATATTGAGCTGATCGGCTTTGCTTTTACGGTTGTTCCACTTTAAAATAACATCTACCTACCTCATTTCTCTGCACAATCAGACATTTCTATCATCTTTCCGATATAGATTACAGACATCAAAATCAGACAAATTATTTCGTTGATTGAGCGTTTTATTACGTCACATAAACAATTATCATACGAAGAATAGAAATTAATCTTGACACAAGTGAACTTTCGTTGCTAATAGAACAGCTTAATGAATATCTAATAGACATTATGAAAGGACACTTTCAATTAGACGAAAAAAACGAGCGAAAATCGTTTGCTATACAATTTCGTGCGTACAGTGTTTCGAAAAATTGTCGCACTCCAACTTCTAACCGTGTAACTAACGCGATCGTGCGTCGTAAATTCATGAAAGTCGCATCGATGAATACGAATGAGAATACGCCGTGAAGCAATAAATTTCGTTAATACTAGAGATTTATATACTTCGCCACGTGCACCGATAAAAATGTAGTTTACAGCCCACTTTGAACGACGCGCGCGCACGTTCTTTCGAAGTTATTAACGATATCGCGAGCGTCGTTTTGCGCTATTTTCGCCAGTTGAACTTGATTCCGCGGGGAAAGCTCGTTCTTGGGACATTAATCCGGCTTAAGGAGGACCCAATGCATCGAAATGCAGCCATGCAGCAATATTTGGCAGCAAATCTGTGACGAGACTAAACAGCGCTTTCGAAAATTTTTACCTGCGCCGCTTTCAAAATAAACAGCTTGACCCTCGTCACGTGGAGTCCATTGGTATATCTCGTCGAATGTATGCAGTCTTTCTTCTCTTTGATTATCGCGTATTATTAAAAGGTTCCTTCGGGAAAGAAAGGAAATCGCAGGTAAGTACGACCGAAATTCAACCTGAATTTTTATTTCGCCAAATAAAATTCTATTAAATCCAAGCCAGACCCTGTCTACCTTCTGAAGATCAATTTAACGACCAGTTTGCAGTGCAAAACGACGTTCGTAACTATAGTATACTACGTCGTATTCGAATACAGAACGATTTTCTGTCTAATGCGAAGCGATTTTTGTTTCGGCGTTTGAGAACGATGTGAGATGTAACTATTGTGATGTCAGTCTTACAATGTGTCATGTATCGTGAATATTTTGCCGAATATCGACGATGCGTTTTATATGCGGTATATGCTAATAATAAGATATCTCTCTCAATGAAAATTTGTTCGCTTTTCACGCGAGTTTCTGTGACAGCTGAAGGCCCGATTTTCCATTTTGTGACTGATATAAAAATTATATTTTTCTAGTTACATTAAATAACACTACGAAGAACATTACTAAATCTTAGTATACATTTCTTTAAATAATACTAATTAAACATTTACTTCTAGTAAACATTTACTTAGAACTATTTGAACAAATACTTTTTAAAATTTGATATTTTTTTCAGAGTGTGATTAATCACTAAATTGATGGTTACTTTTAAAGTTATCACTATAAAACTAACAGTCTAGTGATTAATCATAGTTAGAAAAACACAATTTTTATACCATCAGGTTAAGTGAACAAGTCTAACCACAAGTTAATCAGATAATGAAAAACCGGGACTCAGATATAATAATTACAATCCGAAAAAAATATGTTAAGACCCTCGAGAACTAATATTGTAAAAATAAAGGATTTTGTAAAAAGTAAAAATAAATGTCAAAAAATGATAGAATTAATCCTTGACAAAATATTTTTTTTCTCAAATAGACATTAGTCAAAAAAGATTTTCCGAAAGCTGACTTTTTATAGCATGCTCCCTCTAATTTACAGAAAAATTACAATTCTCCAAAAATTGATTTTTTTTAGCAAGTTTAATAGTTAAATAAGTTGACATACTAGCAAGTTTTAAGATTCCCTGAGAACTTCGACTTTCTAATGTGCTCTCAAATTTCCAAATAAATTAAAATTATATGAGGACTAACTTTTTTAGTATATTCCCTCAAATTTTCAAGCAAGTTTCAGATTCCGTAAGAGTACACTTTTCTAGCATGCTCCCTCAAATTTCCAAGATAAGTTAAATTCTTTAGATGCAAATTTTAAATATAAAAAGAGTTTATAAAAAAAGTTTCTTTTCATTGAACTTCTTAATTTTTGCTCACTTTATGAGATATTTATGGATGAAAAAATAATTATTCAAATATCTCAAAAAGTAAATTTAGGAAAACCCTAAGTAACGGCCGCTCATAAGATAAGAGTAAAATCGTCGCGAGAAAAATTTCCGCTTGAAATTTTTCCGGATCTCCCGCGATGAGAATTTTATGAAAAAAAATATCCCTCAAGTGCTTTCCTCGTGCTATGGAATAATGCCGATTCTAATTACTTACCCTCGTGGCATCCGAGTACGGCGTGGGAGAATTCTCATTCACGAGATACGATCCGAACTTGATGGACACCTCCGACGAACTCGAGGGGCTCTCTTGCTGCGTTGGCAGCATTTTCGGGCTGCTTCCGAAATAATTTCACGAAAAAACTCCACTTCACTTCAATTGAACAACGACGTCAAGTCGGCGACTCGCATCACAATTCCGCGCGCTTCGACAGCGAAGTGTGACTCGAGGATTATTTTCTCGTCGTTCACTCTCGCAATCGATCGCACTCGTCGCGAACGATCTACCCTCTATCGGGTTCTCTCACTCAAATTCGACGCACCTTCGCGTGGAGACAAATCCAACGATCTCGTCGTGCGAAACGTTTTCCAAACACAATCCAAAAAAAAGAATGCTTCGCAAGGAGGAATTCAAGACATGCGTGTTCAAAGAATTTAGCGTCTGTCGCGTTTATCGAGCGTTAATCGGCGAGGCGAAAAATTACGAAAGAACGTAAACACGTAATTTCCTCTTTCGTGAACGCGACTCGACTGTGGATGATGGACCGTGGCGCGGATCCAACGCGTCGGGTTATCCCTCGATTGGCACACCTCCTCCACCTTCTGCTACTTGCAGTTGATCTGTGCGCGAGACGCAACGATTCCTACGGTGTCGCACGTATTTATTTTGTATATCCACGTGCTCGCCGAGAGAGCAGCCGATAAAGGCGCGCGTTTAACCGCTATCCTTCCGTCGTCTGAGTGGATTCTCCTCCTTTCTCTCCTCTCGTCCTCTCGATATTCGGGATATTGACAACGTGCACGCGCGTTTCCAAGACTCTTAAGACGTTTTATGATCCTCTCACACAGTCGCTCGTCGATCACGAACTGACATCCTCGCCCGCTCCGAAGAGAAACGTTTCGATGCTCGTTTCACGAGCGCTCATGAGCTACTGACTGTATGATCGGCTACTCGTGCTATACCTCCAGCGCTCAGCTGTGAGTATCCCTACTCTCGGGTCGCAGTTACATCGCGCCGACCAATCCGCATCCGGCAATCCCTCCCCCGCCTGTCCCTCTTCGTCCACTGCATCACGACCAGCGTTCGCACTCACTCCGCCGCGCTACGTCGAGCTGCGCGCACGCATACGCACGAGTTGCGTCGCTTGCTTGCCTATATCCTTAAACTCTATCGCTAATCAGCCACTGTCAGTGTCAAACACGGTCGTAGCTTCTCGCCCTGTCACGCGCTGCGCCGTCATTTCTTTTTTTCTCATTGATCCTCGAGGTTTTAACGGGAGAATTACGGTCATCATTTTACAGGAGAGAGATTGGTAGCGGATGATGGATATAATTATATTAAATAATTACAGCTTAATTAAATACAACTCAATTTTTATTCGCATTTTGTATACAATATGATTGCAATATAATCATATTTAATATAATTATATTATATAATTATATTAAATGGGGATTGTATTGCAGTCTTACTGCGTAAAAAATGTAAATAAGAATGAAGTTGTTAAATCACCGAGATTGAATCTAATCGAGAACTATTCTCGAATTGAAATGAAGATTCAAGTTCGGGTGTTTGTATAAACAGCAGTGAGTCGGGAGTCGTCGAATAAAAAATAAAATCCAGACCCTCTTTAGTTTAGTTTATAAAGCTCAAACGTTAGATAAGATAAGGCAGGCATTCTCAGGAGGGTTATAGGCACACAGATGAAAGCGAGTTATCTGATAGTCGATGTCCTTGCTCTCCCCGCGATTAGTTTAATCCTGGTGCAACTCGGCGCGACCGCGAATATCGCGTTATACCGGTTTGGATACTCGGACGCCGTGCCTGCGGGGGCGTAAAAACATGCGAAATTAAGAGATTACGATCAGCGCGGCGTGCACTTTCTCATATGACGGGCTTTTGAATGCGTCCTTACGTATGCCAGATAATATATCTTGTGAGAAGGCGTGTGTATATGCCGCGGAGGAGAAATTTGAATCGTAAACCGTTAATTTAACCTCCGCAGAGTTTAAGACGACCTCCGAATAACGTCTTCAACAACACGTTTTTATTTTAATCAATTTTTTTCGAACTTCTATATTTTTATTGTCCCAAGAACTGATTTCTGTGGGACAAATACAAATAAATATATTAAACGTAAAATTTTTCAAGTAAGACTCTTGGCGCAAGGTAGTCAAGTTTGATAATTTCACAGTTCTCAAGATCGCAAGATAAAACTGTCGTTTAAATGCAAAGTAATATACAATTTTTTTTTAACGGGAGGAATTATGCGTCTTCTCTTTTTAAAGAAGATAATTCGACTAGCGGTGTCGAGATATTTATTAAATGAACGTACCCGCTCATTGATCATTGCACGGATTTCTTATCACTATTTACGAGCACATTGTTTACTTTACGTAGCGCGCAGCTGAGTGATCGTGGGACCGTAAAAATGATTTCTTCCTGCTTCGCGTCACGTATTAAAGTGCACGGATACAGCGTTGTAAAGGAAAAAAAATAGTAGTGGTAGACTTTACGCGTAAACAGGTTTAGTGCCAGCCCCGGGTACTCTTGTTTCCTTGAACATAATGTTCGACGCGCCGTGCCTAGGGGAGTTGCATAATAGCACTCGAATCACATTTTCTATTCTCATAGAAATTCTTTGGAGCCACATTAGCCCGACCAAGCGTTTTGCGTGGCCCCATCCGGAGACATTTTTTTTTTCCAGTATCTAATTATTTTACGAGGAAACAGCAATTCTCAAACCATTTCATCGAGACTATTCAAATCACAATACAATAATGATACGTTGAATTATTTGATTGCATACACGTATTTTATTTCAATAGAATGACAATATTTGCCTTATGTTCAGCCAGCTGGACTATTGTAATTTCGTTTCACAAAAAGGATTACACTCCATTCTAATGTTTGTGAATTGCTCAGAGGAAAAATATGTCTAAATTCAATAGGAGTGGAGTAAATATTTTTTCGAAGAGATATTATAGAGACTTTACAGAAAAATTTACAAAAAAATTACTAATAGAAGTATTGATTGCATTAATCCTTCAGAGCTGGATCTGCAAGACTTATTTAATTTATGTTACACTACAAGAAAAATACTTAAAAATTTATTTGAAATATAATATTTTTTTTACGATTAATATGACAAAAATGAAATGTACTTTACAGAAATATAAATTTTATCATAACAGTCAAATTTTTTATAACCAATAAATATCGAAGAAAAGTCACAAATAACATTTGCTTGTAAGTATTTCAATTTTTCTTTCAGTATAATTAAAAGGCACTAATTAATTTTAAGGAGTCAAAATGATATAATTCGTATAAGAAATAATGAATATATAAGTATTTTTTAATAAAAATAATACCGATATAACGTAAAGAAAATTGACATTTTTGACAAAGAAATTTATAATTGAATGATCTAATAGACTCACCATCAGAAGAGTTAATCTCATTCTAATTTATCAAGTTTCATCGAGAGACGCTCACAGATGTTCTATGTCTCATAAATAAAATAGTGAGATACGTTATTCAATTCGGCAGCAAGATCCGTAACGTCAATTTGCGCTTCAATTTCGCGAGAATCGAAATCATTGAAAACCTTTTGAGACTCGATCGATTCCGCAATTTTCATGACAATTACCGCTCTCTTTATAAAGCCGAGATTTTTTTCCGATAAATGCCCCGATCTATAAATGCAATACAGCAGAAGACGTGTGTGCACTCGCCAGTCATTTCGTCTACTATATTTTTAGTAGCCACGCCAACACGAGACGGGATGACTCTCTCGTACACGCGAGCGAGACGGACCGTCCAAATTCTTTATTTTGCGCAAACACGTCAAGAGCGGCGCACGCTGAAAGTCATACAAATATAAACCATATATATTGCCAGCCTAACGAAACTCTTTCGGCGAAAACGGCGGATGCGACGTCTGCTTCTCTGGCCGTCTTTCACGCTTGCGAACCGCGACCGCTTTCGACGAGGAAGCCTTGCGCAACGTGATCAGTCCGTGAACCGGAGTTCCCATGCTATCAAATAAAACCGCATCCTTTCGACGACGTTTCAGAAATGACGATTCTCTCACCTCCAATTCGCCTCGACATGTTCCTTTTTCACGGTCGGAATACGAGATCGGATCTCTTAATTTTTAGCAGAGCGACGAAGTTGTTTATGCGAATACGTCGTTCTCACCTGACTAGAGAGGCCCGTTCTTCTTTTCCTTTTATTTTAGATCACTGTCAAGGTTAACTCTTGAATATAGGTCAGCTCATCAACGAAATAGATCATTTCTGCGAAACAAACGTTTTTATTTTCAAGAACCATCAGGCTTCAAAGAACGCTTTTTTTCTAGAAAAAATTCTTTTAGTTAATCTGTCAGTTTCTTCGAGCTTAAAATAAAATTCTTAGTTAACGTGACAGGTCGAAATCTCTTATCAACGTCAACCGATTTTCGTTCGTTCATTTCTGTTCCAAATTTATCTCTATCTATTATCTCTATTTTAAGAGTTTTCCAAACGAAAATGCCGTTTATATATCTATATCAATAGAAGATAGTCTATAGAGGATCAATAGAGGATCAATACTCTTTCCGCACGTCGGTTTTCCGGAATCGCATGGCAGATAGGTAACGAGACCCAGGACCCGGGATTTTGCCGAGAGAGAGAGAGAGAGAGAGAAGATTGGAGCGATCGAGGAGAATGGCGAGACGTCTAGGATTTGGCGGTGTTCGTATTTCAAGAGGCAACATAAAAGCGATATAGGTCGACAACGAACGGCGGTGGTTCGATCCAAGGTCTCAAACGTTAGGTCCCCGAATTGAGGTAAAGCAAAAAGGAAACGGTCTCACCGAGTTCTCCCTCTCCCTTTTCGCTAACGGAAAAAAGTATCGTCCGGTCCGATGGGTGCGGTCTCGTCGTCGCTTTAACCGGATGCTAACTGCAACTCGAGAATATTAAACGCCGATGTTGGACACCGTGCCGATGTGTTTACGAGAAGTGCACCGCGATACTATTCGTGTTCTATACGTCGCTCTCAGTTCAGTCTCGCCTCCTCATCGCGATAACCATTCATTAGAAAAATCTTCTTATTGTCCGATATCGTTACCGATGTCCTGTGTGCCTCTCAGTGTCAGTCGTATTTTCCACTATTCGTGAAGAACATCTTCATGTTTGTGTACACTGAGAGAAAAGTATTTTTCTCTCTCTTTGATTATATTTACATTTGAGAAAAATTTCTGGTTGAAACTGAACGATTGAAAGATTTTGATCAAATAATCAGAATTCTGATTATATATTTCAACTAGAATTATATTATAGAATTATATATTATATAATTCAACAAGAAAATTTTGATTTGTGCATATTCCAGAATTCCACTTAATGCACCAGAATTCCAATTAATGCAACAAGATTTTTCCAGTGTAATTGCATTCGTGAAATAATTATTATTAAGAACTCCATTTTTATAGTTACTGCTATAATGTATTAATAATCATAATTATATACAGTAAGTTATAAATATGTTTTAAAATTTCGTTAGCGCGTTTCTTGGATGAAAAGAAGGAACAAATTATGAAAGAAAGACACATTAGAAACACACAAATGCTTTATTATTGAAATAATGGATGGACAAATAATTTTGAAATAATACGACGTATCTTGTGTATGTCATGCTTAGACATGTATGGAAAATGATGGTGAATACTTTGATTATCTTTTAGAAACAAAAAGATAATCCATTCGAAACTTTTAAATAAAATCATTTACTGAATTTGTGTTTATTGTTTCGACAACGAAGTATTTACGATTTAATGTTCATAGAAACATTTATTCTTCCTTTTTATTCAGGAATTTGCGCTCACGAAATTTTAAAAGATATTTATGGCTCATTCCGTATTTATAGTTCCA